GGACTTGTGTCGCTAAAGTTTCGTCGGAACGAAGTTACGGAAAGTTAATTAACGAACGGAGACGTAACAGTATACTATAACGTCGGGCTGTACAAGGAAGTTTACTACATGTACATTCACATACAACGATTTTCAAACAATTACCCCTTTCCTTTCGTGTAAGTATGCTCGTAAACAAGTAGTTTCTCAAACCATAACTCATTGAGTTCTTAACGGAGTAATTTTACTTGGAGAACAAGAAACTTAAATTAGTATCTAAACCATAGCAAGAAGCTACACTATGGGCTATCATTGTGTAAGCCAATTATCTTTTAAAAATTATATAACATGTAATTTTGATAGTATTAAAAACACCTTTGCGCATTTAAATTTATACGTAAGCATAGAAATAACATTTAATAACATGTATGTATATTTTAAGCTTCGTCCATAATGATTAAATAAAATATTAATTTCTAAATAGTATCTGTTGTCAAGTGGTAAGTTTATAAGACTTAATACATTTACATCGTTCATACATAAACTAAAATGTTGGGAAACTTTAATACAAAGAAGTTCACTTTTGAGTATTAAATTTCAAAGTATATTAGGATTCATGCTTTATATTAGGGTTACTAATAATACTCACCTTGAAAACTTTGTGCTTACTAGAGACACCGTTATAATACTGTAGATTCACTATACGTGTGATATGTATAATACTAACTCGAAGGGACGTCCCCTTTTAATGGTAGAGGAATTCCCCTTTTTCGGGCTAATAAAGACATGTATAATAACATTTACGGTAGTTTCGTACTGATTCAAATTAAAGAAGATAAAGAACATAATTTTTATAATTTTTTGCAAATTATACGTTGGTATATTTTCTTAATGCAAATCTTATAAAATAACAATACATATCTTTAAAGTTTAATCCTAAACAAAGAATAGTAAAGAAAATTACTGTGCAGACATTCGGATCATTTTGATACTGGTATACGTAATTAATTTTTCTTGGCCTATCCTTTCTTTTTTTAACTGCAAACTTTGGGTTTGAGATTATGATTTCAACACATTGCATCATTATATATATATATATAACGACAAATTATGGTTGTGTTATTCGATAATAATAATATTAATATTGGCAAAAGTGCATGTGACAATTTTACAATAATTTATTTATTAAATAACACACATTTCATTCAAAACGTTAAAAATCTCACATTTGTTTCTTGTAATTCACTGGATTTATTGACGGCGAAATATTTGCACAGTTTTGAGTATGTGTGTGAATTGTTTATTTAATCACTAGATGGAGAACGTATCGCCATAAGCTTATGTTTTTATTAATAAATGATAAAACAAATATATTTTTTAAATAATCAAAACGTAATAATTGGATATTTTTATGTTGTTATACATATTATATCGGCTATTAAGAGTAAGGGAAAAATTGATTATTTTAAGACGCAGTTTTCTTTTCATTATATAATATGGTCAACTGTAGATTCAACGTTTGTTTTTTTCTCAGCCCAATTATTGTGGTCTAGTTACATTATGAACAGCTCCCCAATGGCACAGCAGTACGTATGGACATACCACACTATAAACCGTGTTTCGATACCCGTGGTGGGCAGAGCACATATAGCCTATCGTGTAGCTTTGTGCTTAATTCCAAACAAACTTTTTTCTTTAAATCATTGTGAGAAATATCTCCGATTGTGAGTCATTACTCCCAAAATGTTTAACAGACATTTGGTCTATTTGTATTTTTCCAGAATGTTAATTGGTCGGATGTTATTGCCTACTGGACACTCAAGTAGTTGTAATTTTAATATTGTCTACCAGGAATAATATAATTTAGAGCCTAGTATATGAAAAAGAAAGTTATAAATAACAAACTGACATACAAGTCAATTTATTAATAAGTTTAGTTTTTCCAAATTCACTGAATTCCTATTCAGAGAAAATAGTAGCAACTCAAAAATAACAGGAGGTTTGACAGAAAATGTATCATTGATTAAATCTGAACTTGTGATTCATTAGGTTGAAGAAAGAGAGCAAACATAATGTAAAATATATATCTATTAATATTAAATCAAAGATAAATGTGTGAATTATACTTATACACAGCACTGCCTTCTAAATTTGTTAGAACTCTTATCAGGTGACCCAAAAGAGGATCTGGAATCATTCGAAATAAGAACACAACAACTATACACAAAATATAATAGCATCATCTCTACCAGAGTGCATGTACTCCCCGCATCAGTGTGGGTCATCTCAAAAGTAAAACAGAGGACATATATATATATACATACATACATACATATATATAACCTTGAGGTTTCACAAAGCTCACCAATGGTTAAGATCAATGCCTACATTTATACAGTATATGCCAAATATGTATACTATAGGAATACTTTCCACAAGAAAGCATATGTGACACCAAATGGGAGTGACCCAGGAGTATGTATAACTAGAGTAACAGCAATTTAGCCTCACATTTCACAGCCATCTCACTAATGTTAAATCTATATACATGAATAATTTTGAAAAGAAATTTTCACCTCTCACATA